ATCCAATAATTCCAAACTCATGGTTTAAAACCAATTCTCAATAATTCCAATATCAATAATCAATAAAACCAATTCCAATTATTTAAAAGGAAAATTTGCAAATTGTAGCCATTTAAAGTTCGTATTTTGCAAATTGTAGCCATTTAAATAAAAAAATTGCAAATTGCAGCCCAAAAGTTCATATAAATTGTAAATTGTAGCCCGATTCAACTTTTTCATCGGTTTACAAGTTGAAAAATCTTCAGTTAAGGTTTTAGGGGCAATTTAGGTCTTAAGAGACCAAATTGAGCTCGGAATTAGCAAAAAAGTAACGCAAGTATCTCGTTTTGCGTAACAAAAATGTATCGATTTGCGGGAAACTGTAAATATGAGACACTTATGTTATTTTGTTGCTAATTCCGAGCTCAATTCAGGCCCCTAAGGACTAAAATGACTCATAAAACCTTAACCGAATATTTTTCAACAAGTAAACCGATGAAAAAATTGAATCAGGCTGCAATTTACAATTTATACGAACTTTTGGGCTACAATTTGCAAAAAAAAAAATTTAATGTCTGCAATTTGAAAATAGGAACTTTAAATGGCTGCAATTTGCAAATTTTCCTATTTAAAAACCAATTCCTCATATTAAAACCAATTCCTCTCCCAAGTGTGCACACCCCCCAAGCTAGTCTCCTTATGTTACAAGGCTATTCTTGAGGAAAGACCCGGTCATACAAAGTCCAAGGCCTTATCAATAAACCAAATCCGCATAGTGGGATTACTAACATGCTTATAAAGCATAATAATAAATCAATGATTCAATAAATCTTCTTTTAAATCCAATAATTCAACCTTTAATGAAAACAATCCAAACTCCTTTTCAATAAATCCAACTTGCTTTCAAAATCAATCCTTTTTAAACATGAATAATAAATTAATTAATCAAAACATGTTATAAAAATCAGTACTCCAATTCAGTCATTAAAACCAATCCTTTAAACATACTTTTAATTCATAAACCATAATTCAATTCAATTTAATTCAATTCATCATAAAATCATTCAAACATGTTATTCAAATCGATCACTTTCAAGGTATCTAGCCACCTAACGTACCTTGATCTTCCCTTAGCCAACAACACTTCAAAATAACTCTCAAGTAGCTTGATCAAAAACACCCTACAAATAAATATAACCTTAATCAATATAAGGTTAACAAATAATCACAAATAATTAAATTAAACCCTCCCAACTATATGTACATGAACCTCTTTAATTAATTCAACACAAACATTATTAAAATCTGATTTTATATAATTAAAACTACTCATAATAATTTTATATTAATCTCCCATAATAATAATAATAATTGAATAAGAGAAAAGGAGAAGAAAAGAATTGGATTTGCGCAGGAAATAATAGGCAGAACTTTCAGAGGATATAACTCCTTCGATATAGCTCCGAATTGGGTTATTCTAGAGCCTAACCTCAAGGATTTTCTAGAGGAACAAATTTCTGTGAAACGTCACTACCCCAAAAGCTGACCAGAATTGCCCGAAAATTGGCTTCAAAGATGAACGGGATGATTTGTGTAAAATTGAGGAGAAGAAAAGAAGAGAATTGGTGTGAAGAATGTGAGAGGTAAGAAGAGGTATTTATAGTCTAGTATGAGCATGAATTATGGTAGGAAAATGTAGGAAGAATTATGGTAATTAGGGTTTAAGAGATTACTTGGAGAAGTGAGCAAAGATTTAAGGAAAGTTTTGATATTTGAAGGGATTGTGTATAATTGAATATGGAAGGTATGTATGTAATGAAAAATATTAAGGAAATTGGGATTGCTTGGGGAATAATTAAGAATAATGAATGGCAAGAGAATATAATAATTGGATATCAAAAAGATGGAGAATTAGAATTATGGAAAATAGGAGATTTTAGGGAGATAATTAAAAATACAAATTACTAGTATTTCAGCCCTCCTATTTAGTATTTAGGAATATATTTTGCTAGTTTTAAGGAATTAAAAATAATTGTGTAAATAATATTTATTGTAATAAATAATTAAATAATAAAATACCAAATATTCACCAAATAATTTAACTAAATAAAAATCAGATTTTCACATTAAAAAATCCGAATTTATTAGCTAATTAATTGGGATTTTCGGACCTATTAAAATAATAATAAAATATGGTTTTTGCCTTAATTAAAATATCTGAAATATAAATAATCCGATTTTTAAAATAGGATAAATGGATAATAAATCTTATCCAAAATAATGATTAGTTTTCAAAATACTTTTGGCGCCAAAATTCGAATATTATTCTCGCTCCAAATAAAAAATTTACTAAAATACCCTTTTTATAAAAAAATTTCTAATTAATTAATTAGAAAAATACGTATGAAAATACGGGGTATTACACAACCGACTCATGAAGGAGGCGGAAGAGGAGGCGACCAGGGACATCAAGGAATCTAACTCCTCGGACGAGTCGTCCTCAAGGGATGATGAGGATCAGGAAGAGGATGGGAATCACGATAAGTAGCTGCTAGGGAACAACAAAGATGATGCGGCTGCTGTTGAAGACCTCCCCTGATCTTTTAAGCTTTTTAGGTGTCTTTCTATGGCCAAGTATTTTCATTTTCGGCATGCGTGCCGAGTATCTTTGTATTTTTACCGACTAGAGGGTCGGGTAAATCAACAATTTCTTCCGGTTCTACCGCCTATCGTTTCCAATCGTCCACAGGGAGGTTGTTTTAAATTTGAATCAACCTGGGTGGCCGGCCATACGAGGGGGTGAGAGGGGAGGGTCGTGAGTGAGAGATAGAGAGAGCTTAGGGTTTTTGGGATTGGTTGCCTTGTTTCACAATTTACTGTAAGTTAATTGTGACTTGACGTAACCCTAGGCATGGATCTTATTTATAGATCATATCTCTTAATAAGAGTCCATTCATGTCAAGCCCAAATACCTAACTCTAATCTAACTACTCTAGCCCAACTCCATTCATGGTATGTCATATCCTCATGAGGCCCAATAACGGGCCTCTTACTTGTTTAACCTAATACCCTTGTTGTGTGACCTCATAGGATCCATTCTAGTGGGCTTTGGAATATTTAACTAGCCCAAAGATCATCTATCATAATCTAGCATCAGATATGACGACCCAAAAGAACGAACTTATTATCTCCATAATAGTAGTCCTTGATATATCTAGTAATTGCACTAATTGAAGACACAATTCCTTTAATCTCCCACTTGTCTGAGACAAGTGCACAATATTTAAAATCCTTAAGTCAATGTGTGTTGATTTAATAATATGATTGCATCTCATGTCGTGATCATATTAATCTACCAATCTTTTCTTGAAATTTGAGTTAGAATTACAAAACAAATGATTACTATGTAATCCATTGAGCACGGCCATGCATTTTTTTAATTCTCCCTCTTCAAGGGGCCAAGACACATTCTTAATTAAATAGTTGGACTCAATCCAATCTTGTGGTAACCAAAGCTCCAACTCAATTCAGGAAGTAACTAGGAAACACCCTTTATAATCTCCAGTTAGGGGTAAACGTTTGAGTGTACACAGTTATATTAATCACTAAATGGTATCAATGTTCCACTCATGTCAAAGGAATCCAGCAATATATCCAGAAGCTGTATAATTGAACTTCAAAGTAGGTCTATAGTTTAATCATGCATTATTCATGCATATATATGTGATTGACCGAGCATCACTACGCTCCTATAGCCCATGAAACTGCGCTATCCAATCAATCTTACATGATATTCCAATGATTTAGAACTAGGAACTTAAATAATATATGAATTTGTTCACTTGTGGGGTTTCATTCACCAGGTCATCAACCTTCATAATTATTTTGGACATTTTACTTAATTTCAAAAACCATAATTAAATAAGATTGAAACTTTGTTTCAATTGATAAATATAATTTTGCAAGTTAATGTATTACTTATGTAACATGTTTTCTCAAAACATACACAACTTAAATTACATAACTTGCTACAATCCAAGAATCTTAGTATGACTCTTATAACTAGTCATGGAAGTGGTTTAGTAAACAGAGTTCATGAGAAATTCCCATAAACATGAATTTTGCAACTTCTAAATTTTATAATAATATTCATCTCCATACACTAAGAACCATCCTTCACCCTTTTGCGAGGAACTTAGAAATTTCTATTTTGTATTCCAATAATACATTGGATTTTGTTTGAAATCTATCACCACTTGTCCTTAAAACACGTGAATCAAATAGACGAGTATAGTCCATGACATGTATGATGCACCCTTTGTAAATTGCATAAGGAGTATCACTAAAAACCTTAATTTCATCAACCTTTCTTAAAGCATTGAATCTTGTTACACTACAAGAAAAAGGGTAATTAGCGACGACCAATGTAGTCGCAAATCCGTCCCAAAAATGGATTTGCGACGGATTTGCGACTGCTTTGGTTCGTTGCCAAAGACCTCGTCGCAAATCCATTTTTGCGACTAATTTTTGGACAGTCGCAAATTTAGCGACGGATTTGCAACGCCTTTGCAACTACCATTTAGTGTTTAACTTTCAAATTTTAGCAACTAAATTATTGTCTGTCGTAAAATATTTGCGACGGATTAGCAACTACTTAGACCAATGTTTTAGGACTACTTTTGCGACATATTAGTGACTACAAGACCAAACTTTTGCGACTACGAGACTAAACTTTTGCGACTACAGAGACTAGTTTAATTGCGACGGATTTGCGACTATTGAGACAAATGTTTTTTGTGACGGATTAGCAACTACATACGAGACCAAATTTTTTCCACTACAAAACTAATTATTTGTGACAGATTAGCGACTACTGAGACTAATGATTTTGGAACTAACCAATTAGTCTCTAAACCAAATTTGCAATCGCTAAATATTTGCGACTAACTATCAATATTTGAGACCATAATTAAGCGACAACCAATATTAATCACAAAGCATAAAAGGTACCCACGCATAAATTCAAATAACCAAAATGTTAATTTTATTCAAATATCCAAAATATCAATCAATTTTGTATCAATGTATTAAAAAACAATATTTAACTTATAAGACTAATTGTTCCAAAAGTCACCTCCCATATAAAAAAAAAGCTACTTCAAACAAGAATTAATGACAATGTAAAAGACCAGTTGTTCATAAAATTACCACCAAGAAAATAAAAATCACTTAGTTGTATCACGAGAGCGGGTGACTGCAGGCGTAGGAGGCTTATAAGGACGGTAAACTTGTTTTACAAGTGATGCCATTTCCTGCAATGTTTTTTGCATAGCTAATTTTTCCTTCTTCCATGTAGCTTTTTCGATCTCATGATTTTCGACGAATTCCTTAGCACATTTTAAGTTCTCTGCCGCTATTTTTTGGCTTTCTTCTACCTTGTTATGGTTTTCTTCCGCCATCTTCTTTAGTTCTTCAACTTGAGAACTTAATTGAGAAATCATGGAAGGAGTGGAAGATGATGCAGTAGATTGAGAAGTAGGATCACTCTTGTAATACATTTGTGAAGCACTCCCTAAACCGTAGACTTTTCCTTTCTTTTGCCCACCTACAACCTCCAAGTAGATTTTGTCGGGGTTTATCTCAAAATTCCTTTGTTCTTATATTCCTCAAGTTTTTCCATATATTCTCCCTGCATTAAGATATGTATTAGTAACTATGATCTCAAATGTTAAAACTTTAATAAACTAAATACATTTTTTAAAAAAAAAAACAACTATAATAAAAATACAAGCAATGACTCGGGACATCGTCCGGGATAAAAACTTGTTTGGACTTCTAAAACACAATTTAATTTAATTGCTTTAGAGCAGCTAATAGAGTATTACCCATCAATGATGCAAGAACATGAATACAAGTACAGTCAGAGTTTCCTCTTAATAGATGTTCCAGATTACAAAGGTACAACTATTGGGAACAGAGGATCATGGGTATTTTTATTATAGTTGTTTTTTTTAAATAAAAAAGGTAACACTTATAGCAAAATAATTTATGTAAGCAGTTATTAGTAAAAATTTCGGCAGAGTCTCCTTTGTAAATTGAAGAATCCCCTCCTATAGGGTATGGCTTCAAAATAAACCTGTCTCAATTCACATTGTGCCATACCACATTACTCATATGATTAATGCCGAAAAATCATTCTCATCCTCCAACTAAATCACACAAACAAATAAACAATCTATAATATCTCCAAACATTAACTACCACATATTTTTTGTTTTTTTTTTTTTTTTTTTTTGTAATCTTAGCAAAATATAGAAGTATACTCATACCATGACTTTTTGAGACTTGTCACCCATCAATTCAACTTCATCATTGCCCACACAAATAGAATGAGTGCTCTCATATACTTCAGCAGCAGTTGGTAAAATTCCATCCTTTTTCTTTGCCTTGTATTAGAAGAAGTTGTTAGCACTAAAAAAAATACAACAAAAAATAGAGGACATAGACTACAGAGCAATTGTAATAAAGACTAGTTATTGTCATCTCTTAGTGGCTAAAAATTTTCTACTTGCTTCAATCTTATATAAAATCACAAGTTAGCTGCTAAAATCATACACTTACCATTTTTTTAACCACTTGAGGAGTAGATACGCTACCTTGGCGATGGCCAGGGTCAAACTTCTCTAATGTTTGGCCAGATAACCGAATATCTCTTGCTTGGTTAGAACGTTTCAGAAAATCAGGATGCTTACGCTTTTATGAATTCAGCTCGAACAGTGTCAGTCATGAAACTAACTTCCTTATGAAGAGGCATTTTGTAAACTTGGTTCAATGTGCCCCTAAGTCGGTCCCCAGCTTTTTTGTCCAATTCTCTCCTAGCCTTAGCATCGAACTCAGTTCTCCAAGTATATGTACGCTGCGCATAATTAACATGTAAAGCTTATAATTTTAACTCAAAATAGCATATTATACATATATAATTTTATTTCTAATTTATAAACAAGATTTTGATGGGAGAGTTTAAGATTTTGATACAAAAACAGTCTATAACAAAAGAAGACACTTCTACATATATAAACAAGCAGCAAAGAGCCAGCATACAACTTCTTGTATCCAGTAAGCTACAACATCTTTATATAGACTCATGCATGCCAGACATTCTCATTAGTAACAACGTAGATGTAGTTAGGCACCTGAATTATTTCTGTTCTCTTGGAAAGGAAACTGGAAAAGAACTATAAAATACTGATTAGAAAACCACTTGATGGGAAACAAATATAGTGCCCATCATACCATAACAATACAAACTAAAACGGGAAGATAAACTTTTGAAATTGATCAAACTTATTACTAAGTTGTGAGGGCTAAGCAGCTTGCAAAAGCATTGTTCTTAGGATTTCTATCTAACTTCTAAGAGAATCTGGTTCAACAGCATAAGCAACCTCATTATACAAGAGTTTCAAATCATTACCTCAAGCTACCAGTAAACCCTTAGCTAGAAGTAACAAACATGGGGTTTTAATGTGAGCAACAAGGAAATTACAGCAAATATTAGCTCACGATGGTTGCATTGGTGTAAGGAAAGCAGGGTGCAGAAAGGGACCGTTAACTAAAGCTTATCCAATGCAACTAATTAACGAAACCCAGAAATCAACGCCGTGAAGACAGCATTGTCATCAAACCTGGTTGCAACTCAACTGTAAGCTACCCTTAAGAAACTAAATCCCAGGATTTGAAACGGTTGTATTTTTTCCTTTTCTACGGTACACTAAAATGGCTATGCTTCTCAGACTTCTAGCCTAGTTTCCAAACACACAAGTTTCAAGCTGCCCAGTCTTCTGCACAAGTTCAGGCATATTTTACAAGCATACATGCAGAAAAAACTGAACTCACCTGAAGCTACTGCAGATTAATATTAGTATGAAAATGAAAATTTGAAGCGTTTTCTTGCATGACAATTAGTTTGAAACAAAAGCCAGAAGAAAGTAACTAGGAAAAGGTTTCTCTTTGGCTAAAACATATTTTGTTGAGTTACCCACTACTCGATCTATTATTTCTCACCTGTTTTCACAATTTATCACAAACTTAGAATAGGAAGACAAATGAGCCATCCAGATCATTCACTATGACTCCAAACTGAACTACAGCCAAGAAGCAAAATATTCTTCAGAATTTTATGTCAAATTCACAACACTGCACTCATAAATAGCTAGAAAAACTAGAGTACGTAATGCTGCTTATTCACTGCAAATAAATAAGTAACCTAATCAAGACATAAAATTGAAGCATTCTCCTCATATAACAGATTAAATCAGCAACAACCCATATTACATTCAGAGCAAAACAATGAACACTTCTTATACAGTCAGAAAATTCAAATCACTTCTAGTGTATAGGCAACCCCCGCTTGCCCTACAGCAATTTCAGAAAATCAAGCGAACCCTAGAACACAACCACCAGAATTTTCAAACAGTTAGCAATGATGTAGCAAATAGGAGCAAGAAAGACAGAGTTTTCAGCAAGATCCTACAACAAAATTCGAAAGAGCGTGCCCTACCATAAAATTTAGAGGTTACACATTTGGATTGGTACTTAAAATTTCTTAAAACAAACCTGGCATGGCTGTTAGAATACACGAATGTTGTCTCTGGTGGGGTTAGAAGTGTTGCTGCTGTGGATTGTGGCTGTTGGAGGTGCCCTGCTGCTGGCACTGTGCGCATCAACGCTGACGCATACAAATTTTAAAACATTTATCATATATCAAACAAATAAGACAAACACATTGTCTATCAAACAAATAAGCCCATAACAAAGAAAACACATTGAAAACTACAAGCTTAGAAATTATTCTTCTTCTTCATCCACATCATAATCATCATCATCATCCTCGTCATCGCTGTCAGTATACCCTAACTCTCCATCAACCTCTTCTTCAGATTCAGATTCAGTATCATCCCATTCATCTTCTTCATGTTGTTCTTCCTCTTCACCACCTAAGCCGTCCTCCTCCATTTCATCCATATCCTCATACATAACACCATCATCATCATCCGACGAACAAAGGGTTGGGGTCTCAGCAATGTCTACATGGAAAATTGACTCATCGATTGGGGCATCCACACTTGACCTAGCTTTAGTCTTAAAAACAGCCCACCATTGACTCTTATCTTTCTTTAAGCTTGGATAAGAGGTAAAATACACTTGATAAACCTGATGTGCTAGAACAAAAGGATCATATGCAGGATATTTCTTAGAGTGGTTTACATCACTAATCTATATTGCTCATGAATATTCATGCCATTCACTGAATCCATCCAATTACATTTAAACAAGACGGTTTTGAAGACATTTACGGTCCCCAAGTAGACCAGCTCAATGACTTCTTCTAAAATGCCGAAGTAATCAATTTCCTCCTCACTTATTACACCCACACCATAATTCATAGTTGCCTTGTGCTTTCCATAATCAAAAGTGTGAAACTTAAAGCCATTGGTGTCAAATTGCCTCCATGTTTTGACTTGTCTAGACTGACGCATGGAAAGTGCTCGAAGCACTTCATCAGTCTCATTAGATTCGATAACCTAATTTCAAATTCAAGCCATTAATTAATAAAATATATAACCTTAGTCATATTTAGCGAATGATATATCGAAACTTGATTGTAAAAACTTACAAAATCCTGAAACCATTTGGAAAATTCATGTGAAAACTTGCTCCAAATATCATGTAGGTCAATACCAGGATATTTTTGCATCATCGACTCTTCAAACTTCCTATAAACCTTAAAATGTTAATTATCTAGCAAATTGCATAAAATAACTACCAATTATAGAAATTTGTACCTTTCATATCCTCCTAACATCCCACAATTGGAAAGAACATAGTGGTGTGCATGCTTTACTTTTTTCGAATCTAAAAACCTTGTTTGGACACCTTTGCCACGACCTTTGCTAAATTGGAATAATTCTGGTATAGTTGAATTTAGATCATCATCATCAACAACATTGCGTCCTAGATCTCTAGATTTCTTATCAACATGAGGTTGAAAGTAATAAGAACAAAAGTTAGAAATCTCTTCTGCAAGATAAGCCTTGCAAATCGAGCCTTCCACTCGTGCCTTATTACCAATATAGAGAAACCAAAAAAAGAAACTTAATAGGAACAAAAATAAATAAACTTAATGCATCAGTGTATGATATCCACGATTTTCATATGCTTATAGTGAAACAAGCAGAACAAAACTATGATAGGTACAACTCAATATATTTTACCAACTCAGGGAACAAAATTTCAGAACAGCGGAAACTACATACATCAAAATATGAAGCAGCATAAATATGAGAATAGGATATCTAGTGTTAAGGAAAAATATTAGAAAAATAATCTAAAAATATTATATAAGGTTTTAAGTCAGTTTTTGTTAAGTGGTACAGCTGGAAAATCTGAAAAACATGGTATGCTAGTAAGGAGTTGACAGTGTCTTTTCTAATTACATTTTTGAGTTTCAACATGTTTCTATACAGGTCTACTCTTTTAAATAAAAATCATGAGAAATATATATATTTCTATAACTATTATACTACGTACTTACACCTTATTTTTTGTTGATCTCTCTCTCTCACTCTAAAAAAAAATAAAAAATCTCAAATGGAGAATTTGGTAACATGGGCACGCTAAAATCACTTGATATGATAAATTATTATCTGAGAAACACATATTTAAACTGATGCCCTGTCTGTTTTGCTGATGATATAATTTGACTATGTGAAGCACTACAATCAAAGGTGGACATTTCATTTTCAGTCTCACACTCAAATCTATGGTGTAGGACCATTAATTATGAGTAAATTCAAGTCAGGGTCATATACAATTACATAGAAAACTAAAGCAAAGGACCATGAACACGAATTACAAATTGTATGATTTATAGCCTTGCATACAAAGATTTTCAGCATGACTTATTACTTATCAGTCACACACACCAATTACAAAATTTCATCCAACAAATTCATATTTACAAAAGAATTAGCAGCAGGGCCAATATTCAGATTGTTAAGGGTTTGGTTATTGTTGACAAAAATAAAAATATATTCCCAAATAAAATTGGGAAAATTGCAGAAAAACAGTTTCTATTTCACTTTATTTTATTCCTAATTTATTTATTTTGTTATTTATTTGATTTTATTTACTTGTATAGTTTTATTAATTTTTATTAGTTTAGTGTTATTTCTCTTTTTCTATTTCACTTTATTTTATTCCTAATTTATTTATTTCAATTTTATTTGTCTTGATTTCTCCTCGGTTTTGTGTTTAGGGTCCCGGGTTTCATGTCAAGTAAGTTTGGAGAACGGGGACGAGTGAAAGTGTGTGCAATTCTTTACTTTGATGGTTGCTTCCCACCTCTTATCCATCACCCCACCTTCTTAACCTCCACCACACCAATTCCCCTGCTCCCTCTCGCACACAGCAGCCCACCAAAACCTTGCTACAACTACCAACCACATCAGCCCACCAAAACCAATCAACATCCCCTGCTCCCTCTCCTTCACTCACGCATCAAGCCATCAACCACCACGCATTCCAACCTTACCACAAACAACACCACACACACCAGCACCAACCACCGCCAAAACCGCCAGCATCTCCTAAAACTAATTAGCCACGCACTTCTCAGCCCACCAATTTCATCCATCATCCACTAGAGCAACCCCAAATGCTACAGCAA